TCAAATGTACGGTCAACTAGTTAAATCCAAAAATATTTAACAAAACCTTCTTAGAAGCATTTTACTGTGTTCTAAATCAGAACCCATACTATAAAATCGGGAAAAGAACACACAAGCTTCAATGTTAAGCTTCACCTCAACAAATTAATTCTACTCCAGTGGGTACCCAAGCGTTTCCTGCTTTGGATAGTGACACCCCAGCCCACAGACTCACACTTCAGACTACTGCTCCCTTCACCATTTCGGCACAGAATCACCCCAGTGTACAAGGTGCATCTCTCCAACACACAGACAGAGCCTTCTTTGCTCTTCCCAGAAGCCCTGGACTCACCAAAGCCAGAGAAGCCCATCGTGGATGCGAGCTCCGGATCAAGTCCTGTCACCAATTCCACATCTATAAGGGAACAGAGTGATTAGCATCAGCTATGTTTAGCACCCACCGTTCTGGCACCTCTCCCGTAGCAGTCACTCCTTGGCATCTGCTCCTAGCTACTCCTTGTTGCAGGATTGAAGATGCACTAGGAATCAAAACAGGAGCCACTGCCACCAGCAGCACATGAAGAGGAGATCTGCCAGGGGTTGATTGGCCCAGCCACCATACACAGAGGCTACGTCTACACTGGCCCCTTTTTCGGAAGGGGCATGCTAATTTTGAAAGTGGGAATAGGGAAATCCGCGGGGGATTTAAATATCCCTCGCAGATTTAAATAAACATGTCCGCCGCTTTTTTTCTGGCTTGGGGAAAAGCCGGAAAAAAAGCGTCGAGACTGGCCCGATCCTCCGGAATAAAGCCCTATTCCGGAGGATCTCTTATTCCTACTTCCTCCTTTGAAGTAGGAATAAGAGATCATCTGGAATAGGGCTTTATTCCGGAGGATCGGGCCAGTCTCGACGCTTTTTTTCCGGCTTTTCCCCAAGCCGGAAAAAAAGCAGCGGACATGTTTATTTAAATCCGCGAGGGATATTTAAATCCCCCGCGGATTTCCCTATTCCCACTTTCAAAATTAGCATGCCCCTTCCGAAAAAGGGGCCAGTGTAGACGTAGCCCGAGACTTCCAAAAGCACCAAAGGACTCTCACAGCAGTCCCTGTGAGTTGTGCACTTGTGTAACTGCTCAGGCAAGATTTAAATGATGCCCAACTGATTAGCAGTGTCCACAGCTAGGTTAGCTAGGTTCATGTTTCTCCTAGTGGTGCACATAAATGCATTCTGCTCATGGATGGAAAAAAAATCTGCACATGAATTGAAAAGATTAGCAGGAACATTGCTCTCCTAAGCCTTAGCCCTTGAGAAGCAGCTCTACTGAAGAAACAGCTGCACACAATGTCACAGCCACAGAGACAGTGCTCGATGGACTACAATCTCTGCCTTTGCGATAGCACCCAAGCAGGCTGCTGTTTACCCAGCCAAACTCATTACCCCCTCCATGTCCCCAAGTTATCCTTTATAATACCCCTTCCCCAATATAACTCCTGCATTTACAAGTCCTTGGCATCATCCTCCCTAATCAGGTTCTGAAGCTGGGCTAGCTGAAGAGAACTCAATCTAAATGTTTCCAGCTAACAAAGGTACAAATATAGGTTCAAGATTTGGGAAACTTGCACTCTAACAGATACTACAATGATTCTCTGAGGCACCAGCTAGCTCAGACAAATTCTTCCATCCTCTTAGCTGTGAATAAACTGGGGAGTGGGTCATCAAAACTACATAGTACCGGGCATCAAATTTTTCACAGTCCTGAGAGATGTAACTAGGTCTACCTGAGCAGACCAGGTCTGTGTTCAAAGGGACTGGGTTATAAAGTGTATGGTCTAAGATTTCCAATAGAGTTTAAGGGAGACAGATGCCAAGTATAGGAGATGTAGTGAAAGCCCAAAAATTTCAGTGGGCAGGACATGTTAGGAAGACTGACAAACTGAGCATCTCTTGGAAGACATCCTTACAGTTTCCAACACTGTGACTGGTCAAGGAGAAGATGGAGGGAATTAACATTGTACAAGACCTAACAGCCCTTAATGTACCAATGTGTTGACAGAAAGAGGGAGAAATGTGTTGACAGAAAGAGGTGAGTTGAAGCCCTCACTTTAACTCCAAACTTCTGACCCAGCCCTGAGCCCCTCATCCTCAGCCCTACCCTAGTGTACACCCCAGTGCATTCCAACTCTCTGAACTCTCCCACGGGCTTAACTTCTCCGCCCACCTCTCTCCTCCACAGTTGTGTTACATGCACCAGTAAGAAGGAGATGTGTCAGATATCACCACCATACTGGTGCACAATACAAAATTCATTCTGCATGTGTAGGAAAAATTAGAGGGTCATCATCTAATGTTTAGAGTCATCATCCCACATTAAACAGTTTTAGGAGTTGGTACACAAAGAACTTAGCCTGATTAGTACAATAGCAAATATTAAAAATTTTAACCTTTCATTTAGATACTGGAAAAAGAGAAACAGCTAAAATATTTGAAATATCAAGTACAGTATTAAGACTTTCATTTTAAGTACAATTTAGAATGTTCATATCCTCCTTCCCCTCCACCCCCCCATAATTTTTTAACTGTGATTTTTTTAAAAAGACCTCAAAAACTTATCACTTTTTAAAGTTTTGCTTATAATTAAGATTAATTTCTAGACCCAATTATTACGATAGCACTAGGAATGTTAAATATCAGTTAACTGAATAGACAAGTAACCGCATGAATTCTTATTGGTTACTCGACTATTCTATAGTCTGCAGGGGCAGGGCCAGGAGCCAGTGCTCTCCAGCCCCACTCCTAAGGGACACCCTGCTAACCCATGCTGCTGCCTCTGTATCAGAAGCAACAGTGCAGGGTGCCAGGTGGGAGCTGGTCCATGAGGGGAGCCAGTTTAAAAGTCATCTCCTCTCGTAGAACGGCTGCCTGTTTCCCCATGCTTCTACCTATGATACAGAGCCAGCAGCGCAAAATGGCAGCAGATCCTGTCCAGGCGGGGTGGAGCTGAGCTACTGGACCCAGGATGAGCCGGAACTGAGCCAAGCTGCCTGCTCACCTAGCTCCTAATACACTTTAAAGGCAGAGCCACAGCAAGGGGTAGGTCCTGGACAGTCACAAGCCAGGACTGATCCGGGCTGCTAGCCACCCTTCTAAAAATGTACTGGCATGGGAGGTGGGGAATGAAAGTAGTCTCTATAGCATTAACCAATAAGCTTTTGCTTATCGGTTAATCAATTACAGTATTACATCCCTAGATAGCACTTAGCTCTCAAAGTTAGAATTTTTCAAAGCTTACTTATGTCTTAATTAATGTATTATAATTCCTTTGATAAGAGTCCCACAGTTTCATAGCCCTGTGTTAACTTTTTCCCATTTATCATCTTCTAGTTAAGGGAAGAATAGTCTTGGAATAAAGGCATTAACTTGTGATTCAGGAAATGTAAAATCAGTTCCCAGCTCTGCCACAGACGTCATGCATGACTTAGGGCCCCACCAGATGTATGGTCCAGTTGGTCAATTTCATAGGTTTTTAAAAAGCAGTAAACTATTATTTCAACTATTTAAACCTGAACTTTCACAATTGTGTAATTTTAGGGAATCTGACTCAAAGGAATTGTGTGGGGGAAGAAGAGACAGGTCCGCTAGGTTATTATGAGGCAGGGGGGAGGGGAAGAGGAAGGAGAACAACAACACTGCTACCCATACTTCTGCTGCGCTGCCTTCAGAACTTGTCAGCTGTAGAACGGTGGCTGCAGGCCAAGCGCCCCATTGGAGAGATAAGGATGGCATGGTAAAATACTACCATCCTTTCTGCACTGCTGCTTGACACCCACCTCTGAAGATGGGATTACAGAATTAAAAGTAGTATGGCATAGTAGTGCCACCTTTACTCATGGGCTGCTGCTCACAGCTGCTGCTCTCCAGCAGCCCAGATCTGAAAGCCATGCAGAAATAAGAGTCTCAAAACTCTAAACTCACCCCCCCCCCCACATTGTGAACTCTTACAGCAGTGTTTCTTAAACTATGTTCCGCAAAACACTGGTGTTCCGTGAACAACTCACAGGTGTGCTGCGAACTCTTCTTTGTTTTTGTCTTCTTCTGTCTGACAACAATTTTTTTTGAAGAAAATGTTCATAGGTGTTCCGCATTAAAAAAATATATATTATTGTTCAGCGTTCTGTGGTCTCAAAAAGTTTAAGGAACACTGCCTTACAACAACTCCTTTTTGTGCGAGGGCCACCAAGTTGAGGAACACTGGTCTCTCCTATGAAAAACATGTAATATGTAGGAGAAGAGAGGGAAGATGGGAACACACAGAAGAACAGATTTCACAGCGCAGGATGAATTTGTCATGGCCGTGAACTTCGTAGGGGCCTATGGACAAGTTGATTAATTTCTCAGTGCCTTAGTTTGCTCACAAACACCACAAGGGATGAGAGTCCCTTGCTCATCTCTTAGCACGAGTACTGAAAAGTAGGCTAAAGAAAACGTCTTGTTGTGGGTATGCAGAGTGCCTGGCACCACAGGGTTCCAATCTCCTAGCACGAGCGATAGAAATAACAGCCATGTGGCCGCACCTTAAAGCCTCCAAGCCGCGTACTTCAGCAGGTACGAACAATACACTGCGGACTCCTGTCACAGACGCCTGACACCTCTCCCGGTTGAGCACAGCTCAGCCTTCCGGCTGAGAGCCACGGGGCGGAGGAAGGCCCAGTGACGCCGCGGGGGAGCCCGTCGCGGGGTCTAAGCGCAGGTGGGCATCGGGGGACAACGCGACCCAAGAGGATGAGAGTTCCCGAGCCCTGCTCCCCCCGCCCTGGGCTCTCGGGGCGTCCTCCTCCGCCTTCCCCACTCACGGGACGCCTCGGCCGCCCCACCGGCCTCCTCTGCTTCCATCGCCGGATCTTCGACTGCCCACTCGGCTCCGCGGCCACCAATTTAAACTTAACCCTTGCCTGCGGGGCGCCCCCCCCCCACCGGAAGTGAGTGTCCGTGAGGCGGAAGTGCGTCAGACGCTCCGCCGCGCTGGCTGTTGGGGTTTGGCGCGGTCCTGTCCCTGTCTCAGGCCGCTACTCGCGATGCCCGTGGCCATGAGCCCGGCCACCCCGGCCTTGCAGGAGGCGCTGGAGAACGCGGGCCGCATCATCGACCGTCAGATCCAGGATGATCGCTGCTACCCCGACCTGTCCGAGCTGCTGGCGGTGCCGGCGCCCGGTGAGGAGCCCTGCGGGCCCGCTCGCCGCTCGGGTCCCCAGCCCAGCGCTTCCCCCTCCCCTCCACGGACGGGTCGGCGCACCCGGCTCATCCCCCTCGGGACTCGGTGTCCGCGCGCTACCCCTAGGCCTTCTTCGTGGCGGGGGGGGGGGCGGCGT